GAGAAGGATTGGGATTGGGGGGGACGGGGGAGGCTGGGAAGGGATGTGAAGGGTAAACAAAGGAGGAGGATGCAATGCTTGATAAGAAATGTACGCATTATCCTGCCCATGTAATTGTAATCCCTCTGTACAGTATGTTTACAAATAAAATAAAATAAAATTTTAAAAAAGACACTTGCTTATTACTTTCCCCTCCCTTCTACATTCCCTTCTTTCCTTCCTTTCTTTTCCTTTTGTTGCTAGAATTGTTATGCTATAAAATTTGACTATTTTCTATGATATAAATATTATGTAGAGTCATAACAAACATACACAAAACGTACATAGGCAAACACACACACACACACACACACCAGGTGCTGGTGTCTTACACCTATAATCCTAGCTACTCAGGAAGCTGAGATCTGAGAATTTTGGTTAGAATGCAGACTGGGTAGAAAAGTCTGACTCTTATCTCTAATAAACCACAAAAAAAAGCTAGAAGTGGAGCTCAAGTGGTAGAGCACTAGCCTTGAGCACAAAAGCTTGGGGATAGCACTTACACCCTGAGTTCAAGCCCCAGGACTGGAACAGAATACATACACATACATGCACACACACACACACACACACACACACACACACACACACACACATACTACAATACTTTCCCACTGCATGTAAAGCTTAACTTTGCAGCTTAATTTTTGTGGTCTTCCTGCCTGGGACAGACACAGACTTTGTGGAACCTGAATTTAGACTTTTAAGAAATCCTTTTAAAAGGAACAGTCAGAAGTTAAATCATTGCAGCTAAAATTATTTAGTTTTTCAGGTTTTATGAAAATAATCATATAACCATGGGAACATATTGCTAGGAACCCTCCTACACCTTAGAAAGAGGCCTGGAGAAATAGGCATCCTGAAGCTTAAACTTTATTTAGCATTCTGTCCTCAGCCATCCCTAACTTCACCCACTTCCCAAATCATCATCCAGTTGATGTAACCTTAAACTTGTTCTCCTTGAGAAGGCCTGTCTTAAGGGGCCATCTGGAAAGCCACACAAACCCAAGTAGTTTCTAACAATGGACTTCTTTCCCAAGGCCCAGGCACCTGGCCCAGGCCAGGTTTCAGAAAAGGTCTTTTCGTCCAACATATGGATGCTGCGTATTTCAAAAGCAGTAAAATAAAAATCCACACACTCCCTTGGATTTTAAATCTGGACAAACCAAACCACAAAGGACATTATGAAAAGAAAACAAACAAGATTATATAGCACAAGATGTTCTGCATTGCCAGAATGTGTGAGGCCTACAATTTAGGATCAAGTCCAGGTCTATAACCTTGACAGTGGGCTCTTTTGCCCACCCACAGACCACACAGAACTGTGTAAAGACCATGCGAACTTCCCCTCTTGTAAGATAAATGAAAACACCCAGAGCCAACTCCAGTGCTCCAACACTCAGTAATCACTATGTGATTACTGAGAGGGAGAGCTCCCCCATCTCGGCCAGCCTAATTTCTTTCTTTTCTTATTTTTACTTCAGTTGGCCTATTTTTAATCCCAAGCCACCTGTCATCTTTGTGACAAGTGACATATTTGTGAATTCTACTCACAATGTCCACTGCATTAATGTTGACCTTTTTTTCAAACAGCTTCTCCATAAGGTCCAAATTATTGCTTTTAGCAGCATTCTGAAAGCTTCTCTCATTAGGCAGGACTGAAAGAAAGCAAACAAGCATGACCAGGAGGAGGAAACAGAAAAGGCACTTTTCATAGGGCAAGGCAAACCTTATAACTCTAAAAACTTTCTCCATTGTGCTTGCTACTTAGAATGAGGGAACTTTGCTGGAATATTTTACAAAGTTGCAATAGCCCAATTCCATCCTCTCCTCATATCACAAGTATTTTTCACACCCTTAAAGAATGTTCCTGACCTTAAACAAAACATTATTCAAGAGGACCACCCTGAAGTTAGCAATGTGGTATCTGGCTTGGAGGTAAGAGGGTGGCTATAGACTTCCCAGGGGACATTGTTTGTAAAAGTTAGGACAAGATTAGACAGGGAGGGGCCCAATTGCTTGTACTACTTACAGAGATAAAACTGTTGTTTGTAGAACTTGGTTAGAGTGCCAGACCTACAGGGACATTTTCCAATACAGCCAGCATAGAAACCCCCACAAAAGCTGGATGAGAGATGTTTTATCTTCATTTACATGAAAGGACATAAAAGTAGATTTGCATTTACTATAAACCTAACACACACACACACACACACACACACACATACACACACACACACACACACACATTCAGATGGCAAGCTTTATTAACTACCACAGAAGACGTCAGGATTTATTGAGGATTTTGTCATGTAGGGGAATTGGAGAGGTCTCAAGAGACAGCAAGCATGAACCCTGGGGGATAATATCAGAATTGAGATTAAGCAGAATGAGTAACCAAACATCTCCAAAGACAAGGACCATAAGAGATTTCATAGGTGTGTTACTGAAGAGTTTCCAAGTCTTTGCCAAAGATCCTTCAGAACATTTCCAAGTCCATTCAAAGACCAAGTAGTATCTTCCTGAACGATATTATTATGGGCTGACCTTTGGCTCTCCAAAATTCATGTGCTGAAATCCTAACCCCTACTACCTCAGGATGTAGCTGCATATGGAGACTGGGCTATTAAAGAGTTAATAAATGTGAAACAAGGTTACCCAGGTGAGCTAGAATCGGATAGGACTGGTGAATATACAGAAGAGATTAATGTTGGAGATGCAGCTCAGTGGCATAGTCCTTGGATACCATGCATAAGACTCTGAAAAATAATAATAATAATATTTGGGTATAGAAATACACAGAAAAAAGACCATGGGGGAAGATCAAAGGAGAAAGAAGATAGCTATAAGACAGGAGACCTGGAGCTGGGAAGGGGCTCAGTGGTAGAGCGTTTGCCTTGCATGCATGAGGCCCTGGGTTCGATTCCTCAGCAACACATAAGTAGAAAAAGCCAGAAGTGGTGCTGCGGCTCAAGTGGTAGAGCGCTAATCTTGAGCTGAAGAGCTGAGGGACAGTGTCCAGACCCAGAGTTCAGGCCCCACAACCAACAAAAAATAAAAGAAGAAGAAGAAGAAGAAGAAGAGAGGCCCAAGAAGAAGCCAACACTATAGATCTTTGGCTTCTAGCTTCCAGATCTGTGAGAAAATGAATTTCTTTTCACAGCACTGGAGGCCTCCTGCCTCAGTAACAAAGTAAAGGCTATACCTCTTAATACTGTCAAGAAATACTATTACACTTCAAAATTCAATGAGTTTGTGTGTGGGGAGGGGATACATCCAGACCATAGCAGAGCCATTCTGTAAAATCTCTTCTACATAAATATACATACAGCTGGGTGTCATTGGCTCATGTCTATAATCCTAGCTACTTAGAAGGCTGAGATCCGAGGATCGTGGTTCAAAGCTAGCCTGGGCAGGAAAGTCCATGAGACTCTTATCTCCCATTAACCACCAGGAAACCAGAAGTGGTATTGTGGCTCCAAGTGGTAAAGTGCTAGCTTTGGGTGAAAAAGCTCAGGGACAGAGTCTAGGTTCTAGGTTCAAGCCCACGACCAATAAAAGCAAGCAAACAATAACAAAAACCCCAGCATTCATTACTCATTAGTCTTCCTTATACCAAACTGGGTGGTTAAAATGCAAAACTCAATGGCTACTTTATTTCTATAAGTGCACAGCTAAATGGTACTGGAGAAAGACCATGCTGCAGGTGACGTTGCTAGAGGCTAATGTTCATAAGTATCTTGTTCTTCCTTTCCATCTAGACACATGGAAAGATAAACATCCCAGCCTGGACACATTTGGTAAGTTCTGTTTAATGGGCTGAAGACAGAAGTGATGGTGTGTCACTTTGGACCTCCAGTTCTATTTTCCCCTACCCTGGAAGCCAGGGTTTAAATGGAGGTGCCACAGAATGGTGGTATCTCAATCAGCTTTGTAACAGGAGACAGATTTCTCATGTTTTTGCACATTATTTTTTCACTACTGAAGTCTGTATTCAGGGCTTCTGCTTGTAAGGTAGGTGCTCTACCACTTGAGTCAGATCCCTAGTCCTCATTTTTGCAAATCCATGAGCAGAAGCTTTGATGGGGCTAATTGTTTATCATCATCATCATCATCTTTGAAGGATGTCTGTGTAGAGAACAGCCTTAAAAATAGAGATACTGTCTTTCTTTGGAGCAAAGGGTGGGTTTGCTTACAGTCTTGAGGCACACTCACTGCTCTATATGAAGGCTAGGTTTGCAGTCCTCTTCCCATCCTCTTTGTGAACTGGGGCTTGTTGAGTTCACAGGAAAACCAATACTGTGGCTACAGCTCTTGCCGTCATAAAGTCCTTTTCCGACAATGAAGTATCTTCTGCTAGCATCTTTATCTCCATGGTAAGCTAACTTGTAAGCCTAGAACTTCCCATGTAATGTATATATCATCCTGCCTAAGCCTCCTGAGTGTGGCATTGTAGCCATGTGTTCCCATGCCTGGCTTCATAAAATAATTTTGAGTTATTCAAGTATAGCATCACAGTGAATTTAACAGAGCCTGGAAAAAAAACCATGCTAGATTTTAGCTCAAGCTCAAGATGTTCAATGACTTGAACACTTGAACTTGACTTGACCACAACTTACCAACCTGGTAATAGTTCTGCATTTTGGTTTCCTAACTATGACATGGACATTGTAAAACCTGTTTTCATTTAGTGCGCAAACTCATGATGGTTGATTATGTGTCCATCTTCCAAACTTGGCATTCAATGAGATTTCACTATAGCTTTGAAACCAACTATACATCAGGCCTCCAGCTCTTACCAGATAGTAAGTGTCAGGATTGACAAAATGACTCAAATGGTTAACATAACAATATTGCTCATATAAAATATCTACAGGAATATTTTTACAACATAGTCTCTTTTTATTTGTTACTTATAATATCAAGGAAAGGATAAGTGTTATTATTCTGACACTTAGCCCTTTCTAATGCTTTCTAGGAGCTGGGCAAATATGAGAAAAGAGATTCAGAACAGAAGGGGACCTTGCTAAACTAGAAAAACAAGCTCAGGCTCCTTTTTCTTGTCCTCTGCCCTATTTCATTTTCTTCTTGATATCACTGACATTATTTGAGATCATATATTCACTGTCTACTGTTCATTTCCTTCTCTAGAATACAAATTCTGTGAAGAGGATAAATACTGCTAGTGCACAAGGACTAGTAGATGCTCAGTAAATATTTATTGGATGGATGGCTAGTCAGTTCTGGGTTGGATAGCCAACTCTAGGAGAATATTACCAAGAAGGAATATAGACTTGGAATTATTGGATTGTCCTCTTTTTTTGTTAGGTCATGGGTCAAAAGGAAATCTCAAGGAAAATTAGACATTATTTTGAATTGAATGAATATTTTAAAGGGTCAAGATGTATGGGATGCAGCTAAAGCAGTTCCTGGAGGGATATTTACAGCATTAAGATAATTATATTAGAAAGGAAGACAGGTCTCTAATAAATACCTACATTTAAGTACCTACATTTAAAAGGACATTAGGTACAGTAAGTACCTACATTTAAAAAGGAAAGGACTAGGCACTGGTGGCTCACGCCTGTAATCCTAGCTACCCAGGAGGCTGAGATCTGAGGATCATGGTTCAAAGCCAGCTTGGGCAGGAAAGTCCGTGAGACTCTTATCTCCAATTAACCACCAGAAAACCAGAAGTGGCACTGTGGCTCAATTGGTAGAGTGCTAGCCTTGAGCTGAAGAGCTGAGGGACAGCGCCCAGGCCCAGAATTCAAGCCCTGTGATCAACAACAACAACAACAACAAAGGGAAGTAGTAGAATTAAGAGGTTCTTCAGGTTCTTTGTACAAAGTTCTGGATCTTCTAAAATAACCTGCAATATTGATATAGTAATAAGAGTTCAGCATAGTAGGCTTATATATTTAAATATATCTATCTACTTCTATCAATTTATCTGTCTACATGCGTAGTCAAAACATATACTTCAAGAATTCATCTTTCACAAAGTGAATTCCAATAAAACATTAAAGTTGAAAAAAGGCAAAACAGAAAAGCAAAATAAAAAAAAACCTTTTAAGCAAAAAATCAATAAAAACAAAAGCTTGTTATTTGAAGACAATAAACACCTAGCCAGATTGAGCAAGGAAAAACAAATTACCAGTATCAGGAATTAAAGAGGGCATATTGCTATAGACCTCATAGACATTAAAAGGATGATAAGTCGAGGAAGGCTGGGACCGGAGGCTTGTGAGTTTGAAGCCAACTTGAGCTACATAATGAGAATGTCTTTAAAAAAAAAAAGAAAAGAAAAAGGAGTCTGTGAATGTAGCTCAATGCCTAGCATGTGTGCAAGGACCTGGATTCAATCACCAACAAGAGGCAAGGGTGGGGAGGAGGAGGAGAATAGATTTATTTTGGTTTACAGTTTCAGACCTTTCAGTTCAAGTTGTGTGGCCCTGTTACTTTGTGCCTGTGGCAACACAATAAATCATGTCCAGAATGGGTGGCAGGGGAAGCTTATTCTCCTATAGCAGTTGAGAAACAAAAACAGAAAGACAGAAAAGGGCTTTTAGAGCCACACTCCCAATGACACAACTTCCTTCCACTAGGCCCCACCCACTAAAGGCTTACCACTTCCCATTAGTGCCTTGGGCTGGAGACCAAGTCTTCAACACATCACACTTTGAGGGACATTTATGATCCAAACTGTAACCCTCTCCAATCTCTTTGCTCTCCCCTTTACTCTCCACACTCAGCCAGGTTGGTCATCTTCCTTTTTTTTCTAGAATATATCAATTTTATTCCCCCTGCATTTGTTTGACTTTTGCTTGTCTTGCTTCTCTGTTTTTGTGGCACTAAGAAATTGAACCCAGGACTTCTTGCATATTAGGCAAGCACTCTACCACTAAGCCACATTCCCAGCCTTTGTCATGCTTGTCACCTGAACTCTCTCTATGGCTTGTTCCTTCCTCTCATTCAGGTAAATGTCTTGTCTGCCTTGACCACACATTGAAAGCTCTCCTGTGTCATGTGAAAATCATATCCCCTGATTCACGACCTTCACACCACTCAGACTCTTTCCTTAAATTGTCCTACACATTTATTTGTTTGTGCTAGTAGTGAGGCTTGAATTCAGAGCCTCATGCTCTCAACTGGCTTTTTTTCTCTCTCATGGCTGGCTTTCTGCCACTTGAGCTATGTCTGCAGTTCTAGCTTGTGGGATTTGTCTGCCAAAGCTGGCTTTGAACCTCCACCCTCAGATAACAGCCTCCTGAGTAGCTAGGATTATAGACATGAGCCACTGTCACCTGGCTTGTTTTGTCTGTCAACTCTGTGAGCTCTACAAGAGCTTTTTTTTCTACATCCACACACTGAGATTATCTAGAGAATAATAAGCTCTTGAAAATACATCTAGAATGAATGAACTGAGGTTACATTATATTAAAAAACAAAACAAAGCTGGTATACAGCTCCCAAGGCCAGTCTTTAGAAAATAAAGTTTTCCCTACCAGCTCAAAGTGGGCCTGTTAACAGATTTAAATTCTGAAGATTCTTTACCAATGTAGTCTCTTTGTGCTGTTCAGGAATCCTAAGGTATATACTTTAAACAGTTAAATGCCAAGTTTTGAAGCCACTTATTAAAATCACACAATCAATCGGTCCAGAAGTCAGGACACAAGATAACAGCAACTTGAAACTCTATTTGCAAAAGGGCTTAATCATTTCTTTAAATAGCCTTAGTACTTTCCTTCCACCCACCGTCGGGGAACGGGGGCGGGGGGGGGGGGAGGGGAGAGGGAGGATGAACCACAAGTTGGTAAGAGAGGGTTCCAAAGCTGAAAGCCAGCCAACAAGGATGCAGTGCTGGAAAGATGGATGGGGTCCCCTGGGTGGTCCAGGTACCAGTTTCCTTCCTGTAGTGTCCGCAGGCTTTGCACTGGGAATCCTCCAGTCTCCTGAATGCAGCCCACTGCACGGCCTCTCAGGAGGGCAGCCTCCCCTCCTCTTCTCGCCCCGCCCCCCTCCAATTTCCTGAGACCTTGTCCAGCAACACTCACGGAATTCGTGTCCTGAACCTGCTGCTTCCTTCTCCTGAGGCTGCTCCTGCTTCTTAGGCATCTGAGTTTGGCCACTCCGAGCCCGGGCACCCCTCAAGTCGTCCCGGAGCCCCGTCCCCGCAGCCGCCGTCCTGAGCAACAGCCCTCTGGCTGCAGTCCAGCGATTCAGGGCGCGCAGGGCGGGGTCCATGGCTCCCCGAGGGCTGAAGAGCCCGGTGGGACCCTGACCCAGGGCGCAGGCTGGGTGGCAGGTTGGCGGGGCAGGAGCGCAGGAGTGGGTCCACTCTATCCACCGGGTGGTTCGCTGGGCAACCCAGGGCCCTGCCCTGCCTTGGGCTGGTCTGGAAGAGTCCGCCTTCAGGTGTGGCATGCACCTTTCTGTGGTTTGGTTCTAGGAGAAACGAATATCTCAAGAAAACTACAAGCCTTTGTGAACTCTCAGGCTACACATTTCCATTAATTAGTTGTGCAATTTTGAGAAATGTTGCTTTGATTTATAATCAACATTTGCTATTGGAACTTAAATATTAAATAATTCCTAAATGGATCTCCAGGACTTTCTTTAGAATAAAACATGACTCTTCTGATAATTATGCAATCATCTTTCTTGACTGATTTTTTTTTCCCTAGAAAGTGAAATAATATAGAAGCAGGGAAAAAATTTTGGTCCCCCAAATAAATTTCAAATAAGAGGAATAATTTGGTTATTTTACTTTGTATTCTTAGGAATATTTTGCATTCTTAGGAATTTGAGACTTTCATCTTAATATAAATTATGTTTAATGTTGATTTCAAACTTGATTTTCTTTCAAATTATTGTGCACTGAACACTGGAACTTTCCTTTGAAGAAGAAGGAGGAGGAGGAAGGAAGGAGGAGAAGGAAGGAGGAGGAGGAGAAGGAAGAAGAGGAGGAGGAGGAGGAAGAAGGAGGAGGAGGAAGAAGGAAGGAGAAAGAAGAAAAAGAAGGAGGAAGAGGAGAGGAGGTGGGGGAGGAGGGGGAGAAGGAAGGGAGGAGGAAGAGGAGGAGGAGGAGGA